ACTTGTAGTCTCAGTTACCCAGGAGGCTGAGACAAGAGGATCAACAGAACCCAGGAGTTTGAGGTTGCTGTGAGCTATGATGCCACCCAGGGTGACAGAGTGAGACTCTGTCTAAATAAATAAATAATACCTGCAGCCCTGAGGGGATATTTGAGAATGCAAAGGCTTAAGCTGTGGTTCAGGGACAGTGGGTGTCTCTTTAATTAATGAAGAAAGCCAGGGGCACTGATGTAGGTATTTCAGAGAGCAGAGTTTGGGAACCTGGAAAAGGGTGCATAGTGCTGGCTCATGGATGTAATCCCAGCACTTTGGGAGGCAGGAGTATTGCTTGAGGCCAGGAATTTACAGTTGTAGCAGCTATGATCACTATGATCTCAATGATTGTGGACAATGCACTCGAGGGTGACTGGGTGACAGAGCAGGAGAGGATGGCCCTTTCTCTTAAAAGTAAAACTGGAAGAATTTCCAAATCTTACTTAACATAAGGCATGGCAGGAGAAGTCATTCTAACAACATTTGAGTCAAAACCATGAACAATTTATTGAGCACCTACTGTATACCAGATGCTTTAAAGCCACCCTTTCTTTTCATCCTCACCACCCCCCTCCCGAAGTAGGCACTCATATCTCCATTTGCAGGAAAGAATGAAAGCAAGACACACCAGATGACCTCGTAGGCTGTGGGGCTTGGAACTAGAGCTGGTGGTAAGGACAGGCTGTTTAAAAAGGCTGGAAGAATCTCCTGCTCTTGGCACAGCGCCAAACCCACACGAGTAGTGAGAGAGGTTTAAAAGTGGGCAGTTGGACTTCATGCAAGCACACGAGGTTTGCTTAGATCTGGACCTATGCCTGTGTGCTGCGTGTGCGGGGCCTTCGTGTCCTGTCCTTCAGGGTCCTGGGCCCGAAGATTTTAGGCCAGATTCTCTTCCTCCTCGCCAATAGGGCTTGGCAGCCAGGGCGGCGCAGGCCCCCGGGGCCCAGGCATAGGCAAGGAGGTGAAGGGCTCGGCGGGCAGCCCAGGGAGGGGGACAGGCAGCTCGAGACTCGCAGGAGGTGGGGGCTCGGGCTCTGGTTCCCGCAGACCGGGGTCTAGCAGGGGGTCCCCGCAGCTGCACTCTGGGGCCGAGCCATCGGGGGCGCCCGCACAGGCGCAGCTGGCAGCGGTCGACGCCTCGGACACGCAGCTGTTCTTGCGCCTTAGCAACGACAGGCGCCGGCCCAACAGGCCTGTCCCGGTCATACCCGGGCCCGCCGGCAGGAGGCGCTGTATGAAGTCCCCCTGTGCCTCTCCCAAAGGCCCATCCAAGCCGTCCAGCCGCTGGAACTGCATGTCCTCTTTGGCCAGCCTAGAGGACCAACAGTGGGTTAGCACTGTGGCCTCGCTTTTCTTGTTGAGAGCGAGGTCCAAGGCGTGCTGATTTCCCTGGCTCCGCCCACCCCTTTGTCTTACTTATCCCCCAAAGGCTTCAGCCCCTCCACCCAGAGAGTGATCTCATTCTCTGGCTCTGCGCAAATTTGGACCTCAAAGCCTGAGTTGTGACTCCGCCCCGTCTCTTTGTGTACCACCTCTGACCCTTCAATCCTCTCTGATATTACCCCTTAGCTCTGTCTCCAAATAGAGGCCCAGGCTTAGCTTTTGGCCCTGCCCCCCTGAGTCCTAGGTCACCCTCTGCCCTTCTTATACTCCTTAGGGACTTTAGTTGTTATTTATCTCCAATCTCCAGAATTTAGCCCCTTTCAATCAGACACGCCCTCCGGGCCCTAACCACCTCAACCATCCCCCACTGGCTCACGTGATGTCGAAAGTGGAGCCCTGGAAAGAGGGTTGTTGTAGTAGGAAGGCGGTGGCCGCTGTGTAGGGAGCGCGAGCTTCAGCAGCGTCCCAGTAGAGGTCCTTCTCTAGCATCGCCAGGTCGTCGTACATCTCGTCTACTGCCAGCATCGACACCTGCGGGTGCAGACGCGCAGCGGTGGGGTGGGGGCTGGGCAGCGCACGGGGACCATGGGTGCGTGGGAATGTGGAGAACAAAGAAAGAAGGATGGTTGGGGCTAGGCCTGGTCAAGTCTTGCAGGGGGTGGGGCCAGGACCCCTTTGGGCGCTCCGGAATGATCTCCACGGGGAGTCTCACCTGGAAGTTACGGTCTATCAGAAAGTTGGTCTCAAAGTCGTCATCATCCTCTCCAAAGGGATTGATAAGCTGCTCCGCTACCTAAGCGTGGCGGGGAGAATTAAGGGGAACCTCCAAGAGCCCTGCCTTCCTCAGCCCCAGAATCCCCGCCTCGGAGGGTCCCACCCACCTTGAGCCAGCCAGCGTAGAAGAAGAATTGCAAGAGGGTAAAGATGGGCACACACAGATCCAGGTTGTGGTCTTTGTAGCCCTGGGCTGGGTCCAGGAACTGGCGACCAATCAGGCAAGCCAGGAAGTAGCTGTACACTGCGATGGTCACCACCTGGGACCAGGGTGGGCAGGACTTAGGGGGACATTGAGAGATCCCTTCAAGAATTGGACATCACTGAAATAGGGTTTCTCTCTCTCTCTTTTTTTTTTTTTTTTTTTAGGTTTTTGGCCGGGGGTCGGTTTGAACCGGCAACTTCCGGCATATGGGGCCAGTGCCCTACTCCTTTGAGCCACAGGTGCCACCCTATTTTTTGTTTTTTGAGACAAGGTCTCACTCTGTTCTCCAGGTTGGAGTGCCGTAGTAGGATCATACCTCAGGGTAGCCTGGAACTCCTGGGCTCAAAGGAGCCTCCCGCCTCCCCAGTAGCTGGGATACAAGCCCATTTCATCACAGCTGGCCAATTTTTCTCATTTTTTTGTAGAGTTGGTTTCTTGCTGTGTTGCCAAGGCTGGTCTTGAATGCCTGGCCTCACTCAACCCTCCCACCTGGACCAAAGTGTTGAGATTACAGGCCTGAGACCACTGGCTGGGCTCTAACGGGGTGTTAACTGGCTTTCAGTTTCCCCTTGAGACCAATGCATCAGGGTCTCTGACATCAAATATAAACATATAATCAGAGGCATGGGGTGGTGGGATGGGCAGTTTACCTGGGTATAAACAAGAGGTACACTAATCCAGTCATAGTGGAAGAGCATCCCACACTTGCCCCGAAACACATTCAGCTCCTGGGGGTGGATACAGGTCATGAGGTGGATACAGGTTACTGAACTGTGACCTCACAAAAATGTGGGTACCTGGGATGAAGATGGGTGGTCATCAGGTGGGAAGTGGGATTTGCTTCTGGGGGTTCCATGGAAGGTATTTGGTGGTGAGTGTACACCTGGGGTGATGACATGAAGTACCTAGGGGCCTGCCCTTGAAGGTGTGAGAGTCTGCCCCATGGTGGTAAGTGCCCACCTGGGGGATACCAGGTAAAGGTGTTTGGATCTACCTCATGGGCTGATGTTGACACAACTCCAGGGGTACAATTTCCCTAGTATTCTCTATGAATGACCTCCTGGTGGGCCCACCTCGAGCACCAGTTTAAGGGCACTGTTGTCACGGATTCGGCCCTCGCGCCGAGCCTGCGCAGCCAGATTGGAGAACCAGACGCAGGGCACCCAGTACTTGTTGTAGGACGAATTAAGGTTCTCGAACTTCTTGCGTTCCTCGCGGGTCATAAATCCTGGAGAGGCGAGGGCAGGGGTTATTCGCCCCATGGTTCGTCCTTGCTCCTTTCCCACCCCACCCCCTGACGGGCACTCACCGGCCTCCACCACGTGGTCTATTGTGGGGAAGCGCTTGAAGACCGCAGTGCTGACTGAGCGCAGGATAAGCACAGCAGAGAGCCCGGCGTAGCGCATAAGCGTGCGTCGGTAGAGACGGCCGCGCTCATCACGTCCGTGAACTGTGCCCGCCACCACGCACATGAGCGCGTCCGGCAGCGGCATGCATAGGTACTGGTTCCACCAGCGGTGCACCACCAGCGTCACGTAAAACCCTGCAGGCGAATCGAGAATAGGGGCTCAGTGGTTGGGGGCCCAGGTCGTGGGAGGAGGAGCGACATAGGGTCTCGGCCAAGGGGCACCGAACAGACTGGTCACCCTGAGCACGCTGGGGCCACATGGGCTGTGAACATGAGGATCCAGCTCCGAGATCTGAGAGGCCAGAGCAAGCTAGGTCACTCCAGATGCTTGGAAGTCACCTGGGATAGGGGTTAGGATCACAGTACGGGGATGGAGCCACAGGTCTAGGTTAGGGGCACATGGACAAGTTGTCATCCTAGTCGTAGGGAGCCACTCACTGTGGCATAGGACTTGAAACACGAGGCGGGGGGATCTGGTCTGTGGAGGTTACATCAGGAACCCTTGTGCATGGTTGTCATAACAGCCACACCAGACCCCTGAGCCAGGAACTATGGATGGGTTTGGGCACAGAGTCTCCATCGGGGATTCTTGGATAGATGTGTCCCTCCATTGATGTGGTGGGAGAGAAGCTAGAGTCACATGAGGTCACTGGAGTCTTGGCAAAGAAATGGCCCACTGGCTCGGCGCCTGTGGCTCAAGCGGCTAAGGCGCCAGCCACGTACACCTGAGGTGGCGGGTTCGAATCCCCAGCCCGGGCCCGCCAAACAACAATGATGGCTGCAACCAAAAAATGACCGGGCGTTGTGGCGGGCGCCTATAGTCCCAGCTACTTGGGAGGCGGAGGCAGGAGACTCGCTTGAGCCCAGGAGTTGGAGGTTGCTGTGAGTGTGATGCCATGGCAGTTTCTACCCAGGGGGATAGCTTGAGGCTCCGTCTCAAAAAAAAAAAAAAAAAGAAAAGAAAAGAAAGAAAGAAATGGCCCACTATGGAAGTCATATAGGGTCCCTGGCGGGTGGCTCTGGGGCCCAGCATGTGGTGGGAGGCACTAGTAATCACATGCAGACACAAGGTGGGTATCCCTAAGAAATAAATCTATGGGTGGAGCTCTCAGGGAAACATCCCAGGTGTCTCCGTGACCAGGTGGCATCCAAGGTCTTGGACTGCAGGGCCATAGCTGGCTTCTTCATGGTGTAGATTCAGAAATGGGGAGGAGGCGGAGGGGCCTGCGGGGGTTGGGTTTGAGGACGGAGTCTCAGAGGGGCTGGAATGGAAGAGGGGTTTCTCAGGGACACGGAAATGGGGGACTCAGGGGCGTCCGCACCAAGCACGAAGGAGACCGGGATGAGGCTGGCGTACTGGTCGCAGTAAATAACAAGCTTTTCGAAGTAGCGCTTCTGCCCTTCGGTCAGCACGAAGCTGCGGAGTAGGGATCACCAGGTCACGAACCAGATTCCTCCTTCCCGGCCCCCTTTCCGGGTCGCTCCCCGGGACATCAGCACCGCTCACCCCGCCCCAGGCAGCCTCACCGGTAGGTGGCGCTCAGCGCCATGTAGAACGCGAGGAAGCAGAGCAGCTCGCGCCACAGGAGTTTGTAGATGCTCCCCCGCCACAGCAGCAGCAGCTGTGAGAAGCCACCGAAGCGGGCGTTCGCCACTCGGGCTGTATAGGTGACGGTCATTGCGGTGCCGGGCAGGGGGAGCCAAGGGAGAAGAAGGAGGCTGGGGGGTAGGCCGTGGGTGGGAGGTGAGACGTGTGGGACTAAACGCACCGCGTCCCCACTCGTGCCCCAGCCAGCCACCCTCTTAGTTCTGGCTCTTGCTCAGGCTTCTTCTTTCGTCCAATCCTACTTAGCCCCGCTCCAGCCCCTGTCCCCAGGCTCCCTCTCTTAGGTTGTCCCTTCCCTAGATGCCGGCCTCCAGCCTCTTGCACCTACTTGGCCCAGGCTTGGTCTGTCTCTGTCTCTCCCCTCCCAAAAGACCCTTGGGTCCATGCAGCCAGTTCCTGAGTCACCACTCTCTACCCAACCATTCACCTCACCTAGATACTACTACCTACAGCTTCAGGGATCAAACACCCCCCTCTTAACCTCCCTCAACTCCCACTTCTCCGTCCCCCTCACCCCCCAGCTCCCAGTTGTGGCCTGTTCTTTCCCACTGCACTCCTTCTGAAGTCCTAAGCCGCGGGGGCCCCCCAGGCCCAGCCATGTCTCCAGCGCTGCTCCCTCCTCCCCCTAGTCTGTGTGCCTCCGACCTAACTGCCCCGTCTGTGCTCCCTCCCTTCTCCTCCCAGATCCACCTAGACTCCTGTCCATTACCACTCCAGGAGGACTCTGGATGATTCCTGCCCGCAGGTCCCCTATTCCTTCAGGGGTCTCTATTTTTTCCAAAGACCCATATGCCCCCAGGGACCCCTATTCCTTCAGGGCCCCCTATGTCCCTAGGGTACTCTATTCCCCCCAGGCCTCTCTCACCTGTGTTGAAGGTTGCCAGTACAGGGACATACGAGGACACAGGGACAGAATGGGCCAGTGGTTTCAGCGTTGGGTGGAGCTAAAGCCAGACCTTGGGTGGGAGGGGGCTTGGAGAGTGGGCGTGGGCAGCCCCTCCCTGGCCCTCCCCCCTTGGTCGGGCTTAGGCCTCAGAACTTCCTCATGTGGGGGAGAAGAAATCCACACTGTGCTTTCTTTCTTTCTTTCTTTCTTTTTTTTTTTGAGACAGAGCCTCAAGCTGTCCCCCTGGGTAGAGTGCCGTGGCATTACAGCTCATAGCAACCTCCAACTCCTGGGCTCCAGCGAGTCTCCTGCCTCCGCCTCCCAAGTAGCTGGGACCACAGGCGCCCGCCACAACGCCTGGCTATTTTTTGGTTGCAGCCGTCATTGTTGTTTTGGCGGGTCCGGGTTGGGGATTCGAACCCGCCACCTTAGGTGTACGTGGCTGGCGCCTTAGCCAGTTGAGCTATAGGCGCCGAGCCCACACTGTGTTTTCTTACTCTTCCCTGTCCCCTCTCCCAGTTACTCACTAGCAGGTCCAAGGGATCTGGAACCTAGAACTTGGGGAGGGGTAGGGACTATTTTCTTCTCTCTCTTACACACACACACACAGCTCACGGAGGCTGGGTCACAATACAGTCAACTTGCAACCAACCACTTACTGTCAATATCATAGAAACTCATATCAAAGATCTATACACAATTTCAGCTTGCTCTAACACAGCCTCAGACAATGACTGTGACACAGACAGGAGCACTCACAGTCACTAAGACTTCTGGTGTCACAAAAAACACATCTAGCTTTACCCCAGACCCAACATGCGGATATAAGGCAGATGGACCTGGGTTGTCAGCTCCTGGACGCAAACATGGTGCTCCCAATGGCCACATAGGAGGACACAGTCAGGGACCCAGGGGCTGGCATTCCTTCATGATCACATCACATAACAAAGACACAATCAGCCAAGTTCAGACCCCACTCAGACCCCAAAATGCCTTCACACATACGGTCACAAACCATTGCATGGAGGTTTGATTCCTGATCTCCCCTGCACCAAATGCAGGACAACTCCCCTCAGTGTAGTGGCATAGTTCTAGGGTCAGAGTGGGGCTTTGGTGATCCCTTACATTAATTAGCTAATGTTGCAGACATACACAACAGCTGTAACCTCAAAAGTAACACTGACTATAACCCCTTCGGAAACTTGCCTACATTTGCACACCAATACATAAGACAGCCCCCTCACTACTGTATGTTCATGCACGCCCATACACAAAAGTTTCAGACACTCAGAATTGCCACCAACACACCAGCTTGGGGACACAAAATGTTCTCCACACATTTGGCTTGGATTTGGGACACATTCCCTCTTCACAGATACACCTATAAAGGGGACAGCCCCAGCCTGGTACATATAGAACTTCTGCTCCCTAGTTCCCTGCTCCAAGGACATCAAAGTGCAGACTGGTGTGGAGGATCAGGATTCTGGTTAGGAAGGACACCCTGAAGTGTCCAGAAACCCCTCTTGTGTTAGGAGTTGTGGATGCCTTCACATAGTTTCCCCCATCCCTGAGGCCATGCCGCCGGAACTCTGTGTTCTCAACCTGGCAGATGTCGGCTCCACCCAGGGTAATTAGGAACCGGCTGGGCTGGCCACCCTCAGACCCACTCTTCCGCTGTCCAGCTGCCGGACAGCCTATAAAAAAGGGGCAAATGGGTGGCTGGAGTGGTGCTGTCAGCTTCAGGACCTGGGGAGGGGACAAGCTGCATGCTGAGGGTCACCCAGACCCTCTGTCCACTGCATAGGACACATCCTTGTACTCACTGCAGGTATCTCCTATTGCCCAACCCCCTCCCCTCCCGGAGCTCCCGCAGAGGCTGGAGGCAGGTTGCACAGGCTAGTTCACATGCTTCATAATTCTAACAGTGAAAAATAACAAAACACTTCTGGGAGGATTCTTGCCTTGTGCCATTGTAAAGGTGTTGCATATTTCGTCTCACTGAATCCTTACAAACTGGCATTACGAAGTCAGTGCTCTCATTATTCCCACTGTCCAAATAGAGAAAATGAAGCTCCGATGACACATGCATCTCCTTTGTGGCACAGCTAGCTGGGAAGCTGGGATATGAACCTAGGAAGTTTGGTGCAGAGGCTGGGGTCTTTTTTTTTTTTTTTTTGAGAAAACTGGAGGAGCCACAGTTTTGTGGGACCATAAGGTTGGATCTTTTTATTCTTATTATTTTATCATTTTTCTTATTTCAGGCTCCTTTATTCCATGAATATTCACAGAACATCAACTATAGAGCCTGGGGTCTTTGCTGTGGGTTGTGCCATTGTGCTTGCCCATACCCGCTTGCACACACCCAGTGCAGCTGAGTTGGGGAGGCACATCTAGGCTCATGGTTGGGTTCCTCTGGCACACCCAGTTTTGTTTCTCCCAATCCCAACCAGCTCTGGATTGGAACTCGAAAACTCTCAAGGTCATCACCCCATCTGGGATCTCTCCAGTGGCAATGCTAGTGGCTACACTGGCAGTGGCAGAAGGCAGAGTGAAGGGCAGGGGAGAAGACGGCCCCCTATGTGCCTTCCAGGCCTGCATATCACTTGTCTAATAAATTTGTGCCATGGCTCCATGAATGGCTACACTGGGTTTCCCATTTTAGGCACCAGGGGACTGAAGCTCAATCAGTTGGAAGCATGTGTTGTAAGCCACTGACTGCTCTGAAAGTAGCATGGGCCTTCAAGGGACCCTCTGCCAGCCAGTCCACTCATTAGCCCCCTTATTGCAGTTGTTTGGTGGGAGGGGCTGATGCCATCCCATGGGGGCAGGAAATTGTTAATCCCCAGTCTGGCAGGCCCAGCTTCTGCCCAGGGCGTCTACTAATTCCCAAACCAAACAGCAGGCAGTGCTGGGCCCGTTGCCGGCCTAATCCGCTCCCCACCAGCCTGGGGCTGGCCAAGGGGCCTCCTGGTTCCCACACTCTGAGCCTCTGAGGAAGTGGGCAGATGCCCCTTTCTTCCTTTCCAGGCTCCAAAGCCCCAACAGGGATGCCTAGGAACAACTCTACTCATATAGAAAAAGAAAAGGCTTGGCACCTGTGGTTCAAGTGGCTAAGGCGCCAGCCACATACACCTAAGGTGGCGGGTTTGAATCCAGCCTGGGCCCGCCAAACAACAATGATGGCTGCAACCAAAAAAA